TTGGGCAGGATGGTACATCAAGAGGCATGATTAAGAAGCCACGTGGCCTTTTCTCATTGTTCGCCTTGCTCCACTGAACTGCTGGCTGCTGGCTAAAGAAGGGCATCACACACCACCCATATGAAGAGTCACAACACCCATTTGAGAACCCTACTCTAGGGAAGGGGCTCATATGTACTGCTCACCAAGAAGCAGAGGCCTAATTAAATTACACTTTGGCTCAACTTTAATCTGAAACACTGCTACTTGGTGTTTGTTGTAGTGGAACCTTCTTCCCTAGTGCATTAGCCACGTTCCCTCCACCTTCTCTCTTGGGTTCTGCTCAGCAGTTGCTTTCTCAATGAAACTTGAAGGACAAATGCTAGATTCTGTGACTCTGCCATTCAAAAGTCTAACACTTTCCCCTTCCTCCTTCAGCAGTTCCTAACCCTCTGTTAACTTTCTTTCTTGCCTGAATTTTCCCCTTCATGGTACTTCCCCTTGGGCATGCTCTATGCATTTTGTCATGACTCTTCCTTTTAGAAGGCATGTTTCACAGTGTCAAAACAAGCATTTGTGAATACTGTTTTGTGTTCAAGAAAAGAATTGGTTATAGAACTAGTAATAGAAAAGAAGCAAGGTTAGGAGGGAGAAAGGGAATGAATATATCTGTAGTGATTACACCAGAAGCTGTGCTATTGTTATGTTTTCCTTCATTTCAATACTTAGGACATGGAGACCATAAGTGCAGAGCCAGTTTTGTTATTTCAGTCTCCCTAAAACTCAGAAACCCACATAGCAATGTAGCACAGTCTCTTACCCATAGCAACCAAATGGGTAGGACTGTCTGTTAAGACTGCTGTAATGTCCCCCTGCATAACCAGCAATGCTCTGCTTGGGGAATAGAAGACTCCTGCCAGGTTTTTTGTAGTTTAAAACAAACAAGCAAACAAACATCAAGATTAATTGCTCTTCGTTGTTGCTGTTGTTTTAGTGAATGGGTAATGCTTAGTGAAGAAATACCAAGAGATAAAATCAACCCCAATGAATTATAGAATAAAAATACCAATTTATAGAGATAGAAAACCTATCTAGAGTTGCTTAATGAGCCAGGAGGGAGAGGGTGGAGGTAGAGGGTTAGTTGCTAAGGGCCTGGAGAGAACTTTGGAAGAGAAGAAAATAGTCTGGATCTAGACTTGGCTTGTTAACTGACATATACTTTTGACTTGTAAAACCCAGTAGCCGGTACACTTAAAACAGGTGAATTTTATATGTAAACTGTGTGTCAAGTGACTGATGTAAGCAAAATACATTGCTAAGAACATACCACTCCCCCAAAATAACCATCATGACCATCTTGGTATTTGTATGCTAGCAGGGTATACTCACATGTGTAGAAACACACTTCATGTTCTGTTTCTTTTTCTCTGTGTCAGTATTAGATCTTTTGTAATCCATGCATAGAATGTTGCATGCGCCTTTTGCAATGGTCAAATACACCACCATTACAATGCCATATGATCTAATCAATTGGTTTATTAAAAAATTAAGATGTTTGCTATTTTGAATATTATAAACAGTACCATGAGTTTCTTCCTACCTAACCATTTCAGCATACCCTTATTGACATAGAACAAATGCCTTCTAGTAAAATCGAGTTACATTTTTTTTTTTAAAAATAAGGGACCATGCCCACAATGTGGCCATGCCCACACCAGGGCTACCATGAGTAATTCTAGGGAGAGGGGACAATATGAAGCTAGGGATCAGACTCTGACCTTTGCACATACTAGGCATGTTCTCTACTACTTAAGCCATTTTCCTGACCTTGGAAGTACATTTTTGTCAGTTTGGTTGTTGGACTCCACCTGGTGTAGTCAGGCTCTGTACTCAAGGATCACTCCTAGCAGGTCTTGAGGGACCAACCATATGGGGTAATGAAGATTGAACTTGGATTGGCCGCATGCAAGACAAGTGCCCTACCCACTGTACTGTCCAGTCCTGAGTCACATTTTCAAAGGAATATGACCCATCTTTTAAAAATGCCTTCTCAGAAACATGATATCCACTTAGACAGAAAACTAGCTATCTTTTGATCTTTTTTCCCCCCTTCAAAACCACTTAGACTTCATCCTCTTCCTCTCCCTCTTCTAAGGGAGGAGAAGAACCATCATCAACGGTAAAAGGCAGTTGCAAAAGCAACACCTAGAACCGGCTTCACACTCGGGAGAGGGTGTTCTGGCTCCTCCTTGTGATTTCAGGTGCTCTACATGATCATAGAAACTTTTCTAGTGTCAAACAATAGAAGAAATGATCCCTGAGAACGTCCAGACTGCACCAGGCTGTCTTGATGGGGGCAACTCAGAGAAGGCGGATTGAGTTTCCCTTCCTGCCCCAACAGAACCCTGGCAGCTGAAAACCTCCAGAACCCAGTTGCATAGCCATGCTCAAGGCTGCTCTCCACAGGCTTGGACGAGCCTCACCCACAAGAGAACCTGCAGAAAAACTCAGGTATGGGGGACCCGTGACTGAGATCTCCAAGCTAGCTTGGTCCAGGACTGAGTCTCCTCACCCCAGCTCCCCAGTTTTCCAGTAGCTTGGCAGTCACATTCACAAATTGCCTTCGGTTCCGTATAATCTCATCAATGGCCAAGATCCAAAGTCTATGAAATAAAGTTCCCAGAAGAGAACACCACAGAACGTTCTGGGTGTGTGTGGTCGCAAATGGGGCCTTGCAGCCTTTTATACTCTAGCCCACTGATGTACTAAAAACAGCACACATTTGTTTGAATCTAACATATATGTTTGTAATCTCTTATACAAGGGCTTAAATGGCTCCAGGATGAAATACAACAATTTTCACACACTTTGCTCTTATGGTGATGGGTAGGTGTACAGTGGTGGGATTGGTATTTAAATATTATCTGTAATCAACTATTATGAACAACTTTATAAAAATAAAATAAATGATCCCTGAAAGTATAATCTTCCCCACCAGCTGTCTTTTGATTTTAACTGTAGACACAAGGTAAATTCTATCAGTGGACATATCCAGACACCCCACAACTTTCAGAAGTTGTGGAAGCAGACTTACAGTGTTTAGTCCTAACTTGAACTGAATTCAGGGCCTACTGACGTTCAGGCCCACTGATGATCATTAGGTAAGGAGCACCCCAGGGACTCAACTTTAGGACAGCTACTGCCCTTTGATCTGTTGAGAGAGCAGGAGTCAAGAGACCAGGAAAGAGCTTAAGCCGTCACAGCCCAGATGCTCCAGGCCCTCTTGATCCTCTCTTTGAGGGACGAGTTTTGCTCAGCAGTCTCACAGGAAGCCAGGAGTCCTAGAAGCTGGCCAGACTGTGGTGGTGATCAGCAAAAGTCCCACTCCCCATTATATCCTGTCCTGGAATCTGCACTGTGTCTCTATAGAAGGCCAGTACTCATGTTCATTTTATTTTGGGGTCACACTGGGGGTGGGGTACTCAGGGGCTACTCTCAGCTGCGTGGCTCTGGACTGGGGTGGGGTGGGGTGGTAGTGCTCTGTGGTGTTGGGGGATCCCTCCAACATGGCATGCAAAGCAAGTAGAGGGTTGTGCCTCCCACCCAGACTCCCTAGGGGCTCATTTTAAACCGGCTAAATGCCACCAAATAAACTAGAAATGTGAACTGGTGAAACCCCATTGGAAAGAGAGGTCAGGCCATCCCTCAAGCCTCCAGCACCCACTCTGACAAATATAGGCACCAATTACAGGCATCTGATTTAAGGCTACTGTGTGTACACTTCGTCTGCATCAAGCCCCAAACCCTAGTTCTGTTGCTGCATCAAAGGACCATCTCTCTTCCAGGCTCCAGGCTCAGAATAAGCAGCAATTTGGAAGGCAGCCCCCTCTTATTTTTAGCCTTAAAAAAAAAAAACCCAAAGCCAACATACCAGAGCTCACCCAGGCGTCTCTCACAAGCTGTTGTTTGATTTGGGTTGAGAAAATGACAGAGTTCTGCACCAAGAAGAGAAGGAAAAAAAGAGGGGAGGGGGGAAGGAGTTTTATTTTCTCTCCACCGCCAGCCCCCACCCCCCTCAACTCCTCCCCCTCGGCCTGGGTGGACCCTGCCTGGGTAATAGTCCCCTTCTATATTTAAAAGCCACAGATGTGTTTGGTGGAGACTTAATTTCGGAATTGCAGGCGGCGTCTCCTGAGGACAAGGGGAAAGCCGGTGCTGCGCGCCCGCCCGCTCGCCCGCCCGCCGGCAGCGCGGGGCTGGGGACTCGGCAGAATCCAGGTCAGGACGCGCCGCCGTCTCGGAGCTGCAGCTGAACCCGGCGGCGCCAGGCGCCAGGCTCCAACGATCGTGGCCAGGGGGTTCCGTCTGCAGTCAGACCTGGGGGGGCTCTGTGGATGCGAGGCGCAGGTTCGACTTCCCCGCTGTTGGTCGGCGGCTGGCTCTCTGAAATTCCTCCCTGGGCGCGCGAGCATAAATATGCGCGACTTGTCATTGCGTGCAATTCTCTCTCTCCCAGCTGATAGGGTGACGTTCGGGTTGGAGGCTTGGAGATTGGCCTTTTGATTTGGCTTCTTGCTGCAGCTTAATGGGCAAAGCTCACGGCTCGCCCAGAAACCAGTCCCTCCGCGCGTCCCCTCGGTGCTCGGCTAGACCAAGACGTCTCCCGCGGTGACGGCGTGCGAGGCGGAGAAGCCTGCGCGCTCCCAGACCCGGGAAAGCCCCGGCGACGAGACAGCGAGCCGGGGTCCCTCCGAGCCGCCAGGGCGCGCCGGGCTGCTTGTCCTCCTGCCCCTCTCGGCAGGGATCTCCCCCCACCACACACGCACACACACACACAGACACACACACACGCGCACACACCCGCGCGCGAGCGGGCACAGACACACGCACACACACCCCGCGGGCGCGCACACATACACGCACACCATCACGGGCGCACACACACACGCACACCACGCGCGCACACGCACACACACACACACACACACACACACACGCACACGCACACACACCCCACTGCGGGCGGTCAGGACTCCGGCCTCTTTTCGGGCTTAGTCGGAGCCCGCGCCCCGGGTCGGGGTTTTCCGCGGGGCCTTCGGGAGGGCTTTCCCGGTCGAAGCCAAGGGAGCCCTCTCCAGGGTCCCCTGCCCCGGGCCCAACCGTCGCACCCCAGATGCGCTGCCCCGCAGCTCGGTGAAAGCTGCAAACCCCCCCCGAGCCCCGGCTTGCGGGCAGGCGGCGGCGGCGGCGGCGGCGGCGGCGGCGACTGACATGCCCGGGACGCTGCTGCGGCCAGCGGGCAGCCCGCGGGGGCGATGAGCCGCGGCGGCCGGTGAGGAGCCGGGCAGCGGGGGCATCGCGCACGTCCCTCACTCCCCTCACTTGCCCACTGCGCTCGGGAGACTGGGAGGAAACGGTGAGTAACGGGGTGGACCTCCTGCCCTTCCCCCTCGGCAGGGCGGCCCAGCCGGGGGGTGGGGGCGGGGGGGGGGGAGACGGAGGTTTGGGAGGCTTGGAGCTGTCCCCAAGAGGGTTCCTGTTGTCAGTAGTGGTGTCCATTAAGTTCTGTCTCAAAATTGTTTCGTATGCACCGCTTTCGTGTGCGTTCAGCGCATGAAGTCGTGGTGTGCGTGCGTGTGTGTGTGTGTGTGTGTGTGTGTGTGTGTGTGTGTATGGGGAGGGGGGGGGTGCTCCGGAAAGTGTACGTTGTGTCTGCGGTGCTGGGGTGGAGGGGGTGGGGGATTCCGGCAGAGTGTCTACCGCGCTGCTGGAAAAGGGGTGCCGCAGGGGGGCGCAGAAAGCTGCCGGGCCCCGTGTGTGCAGTCAGTCGGCTGGCGGGTTTGCTGGGTTAGATCCCCGCGGGGCGCCGGGTGCATGCGTGTGTCTGCGTGCTGCCGGGGTGTGCTCCTAGGGGCGTGGGGGGTGGGGTGGGGGGCGGTGTGAGTACCCGCCGGGTTTGGGGGGGGTCTGGGGCGGGGGCAACATCGCGTTACTCACTCGGCGCGCGCCCGCGTGCACACACGCACGCGCACACTCCCACCTCGGGACTCCGCCGCGGCGGCGGGTCGGGAACTGCAGCCCCAAAGCGCCAGCCGGCCACGGCCCAGGGGGGCGGCAGTGAGAAGAGGGCTTGGTGGTCCAGGGCCGCGCTCTGCAGGCGGCGAGGGTCTGGGCCGTCCTGGCCCGGGGAAGAGGAGCCAAGTATGTAACTACGCCCCCCGCTGCCTTCACCCCAGACACACGCGCGCAGACACACACACACACACACACACACACACACACACACACACACACAGGGACTGAGACGCGCGCGCGCGCGCGCGCGCACACACACACACGCACACACACTTTCCCGTGCAAAGGCTAGCGCGGATCCTGCGGACCCTTCCCCGCTCCACCTGAGGCCCCCGACACTGGGGAAGATGAGAAAGATACGGGGTGGGGCGGGGGCGGGGAAGCAAAGAGCAGTTTGGGGTGTTTATTCATTGTTCTTTATTTTTAATTGTGGAGGAAGGTGGGGGTTAACTAGAGCAAACGCCAAATGCAGTGCCATAAATTTACCCAGTCCCTGCGCTCCTCTCTCTCTCTCTCTCTCTCTCTCTCTCTCTCTCTCTCTCTCTCTCTCTCTCTCTCTCTCTCTCTCTCTTTCTGTGGCTACGTGATAGGAACGCTTCTGTCCTCCTGGAGGTGCCCAAAAGGGAAGCCTGGGGCCTCTGGCGACCTGGTGACTCTCGCAGCCGCCTGTGATTAATCTCCACAGCTGTTATGCCCCAGCCACTGGAGCTGAGCTCTTGTTTACCTCTATTTTCAAATATAGCTGCTGCGCCATGCTCTTCTTGAAACAGGGGGGATCAGTTCACTTTGCATGGGCGCTGGGCCGGGACTGCAGACATCTTTGGAGCCAGGTTTGAATGGAATCTGCCCCTGCGTCCTCCAGAATGAGGAAGGTTGACCGGGCAGAGTTGGCGGTGATTAGTGCCTTCATGGCAATCTAAGCATGCAGTCGCTCCTTGTTCTCTAACGGAAGTGCAGACAACAGCCAAGACAAGGCAGATGGAACTCTGAATTGAACTTAGTTGAAGGGACTCCTTCAGGGGGATGGGCGACTGCTGGTGCAGTTTCCTTTACCTGGGCCGCTGGCCTGTTCTTCTATCACCCTCATCTTTGTGGTTCGTTTTTACTCCCTTCAGCATAAGCCAGATTCCACCCCTGCCTTCTCTTAGACACTCTAACCAAAACCCATGATTTGATTATTTATTTATAAGTAATTTAAAGATGTACAATATGTTTATGTAAGCGACTGAGTAATGCCAAATCACACACCTATAAAGTTGCACCGGAAGAAGGAAAATAACAGTGCTTTGTACCTGTCATCTTGGAATAAAAATGATCTTCTCTCCTTCCCCACCTCTCCCCACCAACAACCCGACTTCTGCACAGTGTCGGAAACCCCCACTACCTTCCCATCATAAAGTGACCCCAGATGCCTTCTCCTTCACCACCAGCCTTCTCCCTTCAGTTGTGCATATACTCAACAAACCCTACTCAGAATTGGATAATACCAGTTATCCAATTCGCCTGGCTCCGTTCTCCCATGCCATCTTGCTTTCAACGAAGTCTTGCCATTTTGGAGAAGCCATCTGTCTCTATTTTCTCACCACTCATTCATTTGTTAGCCCCTTAATTGTCAATCACACCCACCTCTGCTTGTCTGTCATCTACCAAGGATTTCTTTTCCCCCCAAATGTAATCTTATTATATTTTCTGAAATGCTCTTGACTTCTGTTTCTCCCTTTCTTCCCCCCCTCCTCCTCCCCCTCCTCTTCCTTCTCCTCCTTCCCTTCCCAACCCCATCAGAGAAAATTGGCCATTAGTTCCTTAACACTTTCTTCTTTTGAATCCTAACACACTGAATTCTCCAGCTCCAGGTAATTGATAGTTTACCTTCCATTTCCTCTTCGAGATTTTCTTCTCCCTCGTACCCCTCCCCTTCTCTGTGATATCCACCCGTTACTACTCCCACCCCACACTGCCCCGCAGTCTCCCCAGTGATGTTTACTGGTACTCTAGTCTGGATTGCTTTAAGTCTGTAATTCTTGAAGCCCAGTGTCTAATTTCCCGTGACTTACACAGTATACCCCACTCTTTATTCCTACTTCCGCGAACGTGAATGAAATACAGACTTGATAACCTCTTAAAATAACCATAATGATAGTAACTGTAATTAATCACACCTATAATAATTTATCACACATGATATATTATTATAGCAGTCAACATTTTGTGCTTGCCATCTGTCAGTTTCCTGTGACAAAGGATACAAAGATTTTCCTTGTTCAATTCTCTCCATATCTGTAGAGAGTAGTCACTGCTATTACTATACTATAAAAAGTAGCTTTCTTGCAGCTTTCCCGCTTCAGCTGCCTCTGCCTTCCATTCGCTCTATTGTTCCAAGCTTCTGATCTTTCTAGGCTTACCATTTTTTTCTGCAGGAAAAATGTGGAAGGACCTCTCATTTCTTATAGCGGTCCAGCTCCTCATGTTCAGGGCCCTCTGTGGCTGGCTTTGCCACTCATTGTCTGGTCTCACCACTTGCAGTTTCTGTTTTGTCAGCTCAGAAAACTTGTCCTTTTATTTTTCCATGTCTTTATGGCTTCCCTTTTGCAAAGAATTCTGTCTGTTCTTCAGGATTCAATTCAGAGGTGCTTCCACAAGGGAAGGCTGCATGGACAAACAGCTCTTCCTGTAGAATTGTCACGACAGAGCTCCTATTTTTCACGAGGTCCTGATAATGATTGAAATGCAGGTTCTATATTTAATTTTTGCTTGTGACTTACCTCCTCACCCAGAGCAATGCTCACTCTCCCTCCTGCTTCTGTCATGTGATGCTGAAAATACAATGGAAATTCCACAAACCACTGGAAGAATGAGTAAGTGAGGCCTGTGGAAAAAGGCCAATAGAAAGGGTCTGCACCATTTATCATAAAAGAATTTGGGTGGAGGCAAAGATCAAAACAGGAACAGGTGACATGGTCTCATTAACAAAAAAAGACCTGAACTTATGGTAGGAAGTTTATGTTTTGGTTGTTATATGTCTGTCAAGCTCAGGCAAGACCCAATTCTGCTTTCAGGACCTCATTACTGATCCAAAAAATGTCCCTTTGAGTGTGTTGACTTTTTGTTTGTTTGAGGGGGGCACACCTAGAATTGTTCAGGCTTTACTTCTGGCTCTGCACTCAGACATCACTCCTGGAAGGCTCAGGTGATCATATGGGGTGCCAGGGATTCAACCCAGGTAAGGCTTGTGCAAAGCAAGTGCCCTATCCACTGTACTATGTGTTGACTTTTACGCATTTTTCCCTGACCTGGCAATTCTGTGTTCTGTGAGTTTATAGATTGTCTCCTGCTAAGGATACTTTTAGTTCTGACGGTATCTATCATTTCAGAACCTTCTAGCTGCAATTTGAAGCCTTGAGTGTGTCTGTTATCACATTGAGTCTAGAGAGGTCAGTGTGATCAGCTGGCTCAACTCTCTGGATCTCTGACCTACAAGATGTTCTGAGCTGGAGGGTCACCCTACTGGCCCTTGGTTGACTTTTTTGTGCAGTGTCAATTCCCTCTGCAACCTTCTGGAGCATCACAGAATAACTGGTGGTGGACTAGGCTCTGGAATGCCCCAGTCAGTCCTGATTCAATGTCTATGCTTGTACTTCCTGACCTTGACAGGGTATGTTTAATAGTCCCCTAGGCTCCATTGAGCATCTGTGAGTCAAGTCTGTTCAGCAGCTTTCCAGAAACTCCACACCATCCCTCTGTACCCACTCCTCTAAAAGACAGGAAAAATCACCCTGACTAACATATTCCAGTTAGTTGGAAGGAGCTAAATAAGGAATTTGCTTATAGAGGGATCACTAGGAAAGAGAAGGGAAGAAGAGGGAAGGGGAGGGAAAGGAAGGGGAGGAGAGGAAGGAGGAGGGAAGGAGAGCGCAGCAGCAGAGGCAGCATCTAGATCTCTCAAGATAATTCTCCCAGTGTTCTATTGTGAAAGAAGGACCCCATGCAAAGTCCTCCACTCTCATTGGGTTGATTATACCGAAGACAGACACCCCCCTCTTCCCCCTGCCTCTAATCCAGGTCTCACAAAGACGACTTTGACTGCATTCAAGAGTCCATTTGCTCTTCATTCAGGCAGTGATGTGGTTTAATTCCATATTTCAACATTTAAGAATGAGGAGAAATTAAGTCATTAAAGCAAATTGCTCCTGGAGAATGAGCTGAGAAGAAGGTACTTTAAAAAAACTCACCAGCTTTGCTTGGAAGGGTAGGAAGAGGAGCAGTGGGATGTCAACCTTCTCTCTATGGGTAACCCCCAAAACTTGACCCCAACAGAAAAGTCAGGGGGCAAGAATAAGCTCC